CTTACAACATGTAAGTCATTTTTTCGACATAAATATGTTTGTCTAATATCCAATTTGAGCTAGTTCAATATGGTAGATGGAGTTAGTGAACATTATGGATCAAATACATACTTGGATCAATGAAGTTGGGTTAAATCTCAACCTTTAATTCGACAATAACATGTTTTCGGATTACTCTATACTTCGATCCAAAATACGGTCGAAAAAAAAAAATAGGATCGGAAGAAACAATGAAGAATCCATTTGAAGTAACTTTGTGAAACTTTGGCCATTAGAAGAAAGGTGAAGCAAGTAGTGGCTAGGTCAAGTGCTTTCAATATACCCAATGGGTCATGAGAATAAATAAAAGATACCATTTGTTTATATTGTAGTGGTGAGTGGAAATTATTTGTAATGTAGTTTAATATATGTTGATGTCATGGGGGTCCAATTGAACTTAGACCCAATTTCTTAAAACTATGCTAATACACAAACAATGCAGAAGTATATTCTTCTAAGATATTCTATATGACTGACTCTACTGAAATTCACTCTGTTTTTTCTTTAATTTATACAAGAATTGATAAGATTTTATCAACGTAAAAGATGATGTATCTTTGATATTGCGATTATAGGTGATGACTGATGAGTAACATTGATGTTTTTTTTTGTCTTATGATGGTTTTGAATCAATTAATTTAATTTAGAACTGTAAAATGATCTATATGATCCACCAGTGTTGGCGTAATTGATAACTTTGTCATTTTTTAAATATGATGTATTTGTGTTCTTGTTTACTTGATTATTTTGAATTGCAGTAATTGTTAACTATAAAAATCAGTTTATCCGTATAAAATACTTAAGACCAAAACCAAAATGTACTATTACAAACTCCATTCTTCACACAAATTTATAAATTTAAAATCGCAGAATTAAGAAAATGTTTAGTGTTAATCTCTCTTATCTCCGACGACCGGAACATATGGCCCGGAAATATCACTAGATTAATTTCGGTTTGAGGCGTATCACTATACCAATTTCGGTTAATCTAAACCGGTTATCAATTTGGGTATTAAACCCCTCTGTCTCTCTCTTTGTACCGTTTTCTCTTTAAAGTTCTGACCTTTCTCTCTCCGCCACAGAAGCTTACACCGACGACGACGCCACCGCCGCCGGATTCACTTTTGGCGGTTTTCCAAGCACTTGGATCATGCCTTCGAGTTCTTCGTTCAAAGACAACTTTCTAGATTCAGGGTTTTTGCTTTTAGGGTTTATCTGAAATTTCTTGTACCGTATGTTCGCTCACGTTTTCTCCAGAAGAACGAGCTTCTTGGTACGTTGCTTCCACGTCGCTAAGAAATTCTCGAATCCTGAGCAAGAAGACATTCTCTTTAGTGCTCTCTGTTTGAATTTAAGACAAAGAAGATGGAACACACTTCATCAATTCTCCCAAACTCTCACTAATCCGTTGATAAGCCGAGTTCTTCTCCAGTTTCGAACCTCACCGAAGCTAGCTCTAGAGTTTTACAACTGGGTTTTAGGTAATAAAACCATGGCTAAGTCTTCCGAGAATCGTTTCGAAGCTTCTTGTGTGATGATTCATTTGCTTGTAGATTCGAGAAGATTCGATGATGTTTTGTCAATAATGGTGGATTTGATGTCTGTGGAAGGTGGAAATTTGAGTCCTTTACATGTTTTGTCTGGTTTGATTAGAAGTTACCAAGCTTGTGGTTCGTGTCCTGATGTGTTTGATTCATTGGTTAGAGCTTGTACACAGAATGGAGATGCTGAAGGAGCTTATGAAGTGATTGAACAAACGAGAGCAGAGGGATTCTTGGTTTCTGTTCATGCGTTGAATAATTTCATGGGTTGTTTATTGAATTTGAATGAGATTGATTGGTTTTGGAAGGTTTACAAGGAAATGGTTTCATTGGGATATGTTGAGAATGTGAATAGCTTTAATCTGGTTATATATTCGTTTTGTAAGGAGAATAAGTTGTTTGAAGCTTTATCGGTGTTTTACCGGATGTTGAAATGTGGTGTTTGGCCTAATGTTGTTAGCTTTAATATGATGATTGATGGAGCTTGTAAGACTGGCGATATGGGATTCGCGTTGCAGCTGTTAGGGAAGATGGGAGTCATGTCTGGGAACTATGTCTCGCCTAATGCTGTGACTTACAATTCGATTATCAACGGGTTTTGCAAGGTTGGGAGATTGGATTTGGCGGAAAGAATCCGCGGTGACATGGTTAAATCAGGTATTGATTGCAATGAAAGAACCTATGGAGCTTTAGTGGATGCGTATGGTAGAGCTGGAAGTTCAGATGAAGCTTTAAGGTTGTGTGATGAGATGACAATTAAGGGACTTGTGCCGAATACCGTTATTTATAACTCTGTTGTTTACTGGCTGTTTACGGAAGGTGACACGGAAGGAGCGATGTTGTTGTTGCGTGATATGATCAGTAAAGAGATGTGCATTGATGGGTTTACTCACGCCATTGTAGTTAGAGGTTTATGCAAGAACGGATATGTAGAGGAAGCTGTTAAGTTTCAGAGACAGATTTCAGAGAAGAAACTCACGGAAGATATAGTTTGTCACAATACACTTATGCACCATTTCGTTACGGATAAGAAGCTGGCGTGTGCTGATCAGATTCTGGGGAGTATGTTGATTCGGGGTTTGGGTCTTGATGCGGTTTCCTTTGGAACTTTGATCGATGGATACATAAAAGAAGGGAAGTTAGAAAGAGCTATCGATATCTATGACGGTGTGATCAGGATGAAGAAAACGCCGAATCTTGTGATTTACAATTCGATTGTGAATGGATTGAGCAAAAGAGGATTGACAGGTGCAGCTGAAGCAATGGTGAACGCAATGGAAAGCAAAGACGCTGTAACTTACAACACAATGTTGAACGAGTCTCTCAAAGCCGGGAATGTCGAAGAAGCTATCAATATCTTATCGAAAATGCAGAAACAGGATGGCGAGAAACTGGTTAGTCTAGTGACTTACAACATCTTGATCAATCACTTATGCAAGTTTGGTTGTTACGAGAAAGCGAAAGAAGTCTTGAAGATAATGGTTCATAGAGGTGTTGTTCCGGATTCTATAACATATGGAACTCTGATTACATCGTTTAGTAAGAACCGCGAGGGAGAAGAAGTCGTCGAGCTTCATGATTACATGGTTCTTAATGGAGTTATACCTCATGAACATAAATACCGATCTATTGTCAGTCCTCTTCTTGATGGAGAAATACCTTGAAAAATCACAAGTAAAAAAAACCAAATTCAAGGATCTTTGACTAAACCATCAGATTCGTATCTTGGTCGTACACGTGGACCCTTGGAGGATGCTAATCAACGGTCAAGTGGTTTGGAAAACAAGATTGGTAAGGCTTGACGTGGACTTTTCAATCGGAGATTGTTTGACACGTGGCGCTTATGCACCGGCCAAGCCGTTTCATTGTCACGAGCTAATATAAACGTTATTTTTAAGAAGAATTAAGCGTCCAGATTTGTTTGGCGTTTACAGAAGAAATCTTATGTGAGAAGCAGAGAAAAATTTCTCAATGGCTGCGACTGGCGATTCGTAAAATCTTCTGTTGTTATTTTTGCTACATGTCAATATCTCATAGCACACCATAGGTCTTAAAACATTTTGTTTTAATTTTCATGAAATTAAAACCATATCATTATTACAATACGCAAACACATGTGTCTCTCTCTTAATTTACGGAATTTTTATAATTTTAAGAATAACCATAATAAAATAGAATTAAAAAAAAAATTGGAGATCAGTTTCAGTGATTGAGAAATGGCTTGGTAATGCAAGTGGAGGGGGCTGCTTCAACAATACAACAACAAACATTCTCTCTCTTTCTTTCGTGGGCATATATACTTCTCAAGTACACAACCA